TATCAAATCTTGTAGAGATCAGGTAGCTAAAGACGGTGATGAGGGTGTTGGGCCTGGTAATTAAAAGCCAACATTAACTATTAACAGAACATTTCTACAAAGAATACCTTAGAATGAATTAAAAAATAGATGAAGAGTTGGAGGCAGTGAAGATTCTTTAAGAAATCAAGTTATGAAAGAAAACAGAAAATAGGTGGTATTTTGGTAAGAAAAACAGTCAATGGTTTGCTTTTAGCATGGGGCCCTTTCGAAAATCTTTGCAGACTGAGGGAAAGACATTAGCAAAGAAAGGCTTAAAGACTGTAGGCACAAGTAAAATTGACTGAACCAAGTCTTGGTGAAGACAGAAAAAAAAAAAAAAAAAAAAAAAAAAAAAAAAAAAAAAAAAAAAAAAAGGAAGCAAAGATAGCTTTCTGCTGAAATATAGGAGTACAAAGTAGGGATAAAGGAAGAGATTTATAAATGCCCAGATGAAGGCTAAGGGGGTGGGAATTAGAGGAATCCAGTTCGATAACATCTATTTCTGTGGTCTGTAAAAGGAAAGATCAGCTTTAAGTATAAGTACAGGCATGTATTGCTTAATGATAGGAAATAAATTGAGACGTGTGTCATTAGACAATATCATTGTGTGAACAGTATACTTACATAAACCTAGATAATATAGTCTTCTACACACCTAGGCTAAATGGTATATAGCCTATACAAACCTGTACAGCATGTTCCTGTACTGATAATGTAGGCAACTGTAACACAATCGTATTTGTGTATCTAAACATATTAAAGATATAGTAAAAATACTAAAAATACTGTATAAAAGATAAAAAAAGGTGCACTTATTATGAATAGAGCTTTTATGACTGGAAGTTGCTCTGAGTCAGTGAGTTGTGAATGTTAAGGCCTAGGACATTACTACACACTACTGTAGACTTTATAAACACTGTATACTTAGGTTACACTAAATATATTAAAAAAATATTTTTCTGGTTTGGTGTGGTGACTTGCACCTATAGTCCTAGCACTTGGGAGGCTAAGGTGGGAGGATTGCTTGATTGTTGATAAGGGTATTGGGCCTGGTAACTGCTTTACATGCATGTTTCAGTCCATTTTTATTTCTACACAAATTTTATTTATATAAAACTCAGGAGTTCAAGACTACAACAACCTATGATCCCACCACTGCACTCCAGCCTGGGCATCACAGCTAGACTCTGTCTCTTAAAAAAAATTAAAATTAAAACCTAAAAATTTTATTTCCTCAATAATAAACTACATTAGCTTAAAGTAAGTTTTTTACTTTATAAACTTTACTTTTTTACTCTTTTGTAATAACACTGAGCTTAACACTCAAACATGCTGTACAAAAACATTTTCTTTATATCCTTATTCTATAATTTTTGTATTAATTTTTTAAATTTACTTTTAAAACTTTTTAGTTAAAAACTAAGCCACAGACACACACATTAGCCTAGACGTACACAGGGTCAGGACGATCAATTTTACTATCTTCTACCTCTGCATCTTGTCCCACTGGAAGGTGTTCAGGGGTAATAATGTACATAGAACTGTTATCTCCTATGGTAACAATGCCTTCTTCTGCAATACCTCCTGAAAGACCTGCCTGAGGTTAACAGTAACCTAAAAAAAAAAAAAATATGTAAAGGAGTACACTCTAAAATATGATAAAATATAGTAAATACATAAAAAAGAAACATAGTCATTTATCACCAAGTATTATGTATTGTACTGACTGGTAATGCAGGTTAACAGCAGCATCATCATAAATATGTGACAATTACATTGCCCTGTGACATTATAATGGTTAAGATGTCACAAGATGATAGGAATTTTTCAGCTCCATTATAATTTCATGAGGCCACCATTGTATACGTAGTCCATCGTTGACTAAAATGTTAAGTGGTGCATGAGTGTAGTCCACCTACCTTTCACAGTTATTTTCCCTTTAAGACCTGCAACACACACTTTTATTGGTCCTTTTTATTGGCCTCTTCTCACTGGCTTTAGAGTACAGAACTAGAAAACTTTTTCATAGTCCTGCAACAATCTTCCATCTAATATCTCACAAATCACTAATTTCCTTTTCCCCCTCAATATGTATTTTGGAGAATCTTACTATAAAGACTCTGTAGGTTGGCCACTTACTGATATGAAGATGTAGGAGGACAAATACTTTCTCTTACCTAAATGAATGCCAAATAACTTCAGCAGTTGGTTCCTTCTATCCCATTTTTTTCTTATAAATGGAAACTCCACAAGAGCAATGACTGTGTTTTATATACCCTGTCAAGGTGTAGCGAATACTGGGAGTGTTTAATAAATAATAAATAGGAGTGAAATTCCCAAATAATAAAACAGACTATAACCCTATCAATTGCTGCTAGTGATGCAGAGGCTGCACTTAAAACTACCAAGGAAAAAAGAAGACATCCTTAACCATAATGTTCAGAAATGTAAGTTACATTTTGGTAAATCTTTTTCAGCAAAAGAATAGCACTATGTACTCACTGAGTATTTACTCTATGCCCAGAATTGTGCTAACTGCTTTACATGCATGTCTCAGTCCATTTTTATTTCTACAAAGAATACCTAAGGCTGAGTAATTTACAAAGAAAAGAGATTTATTTCGCTCATGGTTTTCTAGGTCATACGAGAAGCATGGCACCATCAGCTCCTGGTGAGGGCTTCAGGGTGGATCCTCTTATGGCCAAAGGCAAAGGGGAGCTGGTGTGTAATCACAAGGCAAGAGAGGAAGCGAGAGAGAAGAGGGAGGAACCAGGTTCTTTTTAACAACCAGCTCTCTGGGAACTGATATAGCGAAAACAGTTGTTACTATGAGGATGGCATTAAGCCATTCATGAAGGACTCTTTCCCATGACCCGGACATCTTTTATTAGGTCCCATATCTAACACTGGAGGTTAAATTTCAACATGAGATTTGGAGGGGTCAAATAAACTATCTCCAAAATACAGCAGTGCATTATCTCATTTCATTCTTACAAGTTTTAGTTGATAAAAATTTATCTTCTATTTGATTCACAGAAACATGAGAAAGTACCAATAATATCCACATCTTAAAATGAAACAAATGAGAATTCAAGAGATTAAATAGGATGTCCAAGTTCATACATTCAGCTATTACATGCAGACCCGAATTCAAACCCTGTGTTTTCTGAGTCCCCAGTCAATAGTGTTATTCACAATACTACACACTCTTCTCCTCAACTTAGCACCTATAAGACTTGAATAATAATAGTTTTCCTTGTGAAATTATGAGGAATCATATCATTTGATGGCTTAATAATACAAATCTTCACCTGTGCAAGGCAGACAAGTATTATTGGTCAAAGTATAAAGATGGGGTTTAATGAACAGAAATAATTATTCAAGAATCAGAAATGGAGCATGTCCTCTTGCTTGATTTCAGCTTTGTAGTCTAACATTTGAGCAATGATATATTTGATAGGACAACTGCCAATGGTAGAAAACTTGTTCAGTATTTAAGGTAACATTACCAAAGAGACAATCTCCTGCTGTGAATATTGAAATATTAAATTTTCCTTACTTTGTTGCCTAATAATTTGGGCAGATTATAAGAGAAGGAAGTGAGGTGGTCAAAAAGTCAGTGAAAAGCTTTATAAACTATGACCATTGTATGTTGTGCAATTCTGCATTTTAAATGTTTTTTAAAATTTATGCTGTAACTAGACTTTAAAAAAATAATTTATATGTAAACTTTCTCTTAGCATTCCTGCAGATCATCCTGTGTTACCAAACATTAGCTGGAGATAGTAGCTATAAACAGATAAAATTTGAGAAAATAATATAAAAACAGTTGTGTTTATTATACAACCCAGCATCTTTAGAATAGTGTTGATTTTTACAAACCATGCTTCAATCTACATCAAACATATGACATTGTGGTTATGAGAAAAATATATCGTTGATCAGAGTTTCAAATTTATATTTATCAAGCACCTCACAAAATTCTCTTTATGTTTAAATGCTTATCCCTCTCTATTATAGAATGCTGCTACACAAAAATATCAATTAGAATACTGAAGCAGTTATGAAAACTAAATAGAAAAATAATTGCAATACAATAAATTTTACAAAATTTTAACCAGAAGCAATTTTTAATTTAGTTTTTAATCTATTAAAAAGATTCTAACATGTAAGGCTTAGTTTGTCCTGGTATGTGCCAAAATTACCTAATACTTCTTTTTCCAGAGATAAATTGAAACATAATTAATGTCACCTCAAATTTACATACCAATGTGAACAGAGAAGGAGAAGGGATGGTATATAAAATGAGGGAGAGTGGTTAGAAAGGTATTTTTTTATTTTTTCCTAAATAGTTAGCTTCTAATATATGCTTGAGTATATACATATATTTTTCTCTTTTTTAGCTATTAAGTCCCATTAAGAACTGTCCCATACTTTTTGAATGAGAGATTTCAAATGAAAGTAAAATTATTTTTTAAAAGTCTGCAGTACAGACTCATTATCTCTACTTCTTAAAAACAAAAATTAGAAACAAACATTTTAAAAACCTCTGATACGTAATACTCTGCAAAGACTAAAGAAAATATGATTTTCAAATATTTGCAAGTGAATTTTAAGAAATATTAGTTCATTTCAAAAATCTAATTAGGCATACTGTATTCTCTTATAAACTACTGCTTGTAGCACAACAAATAGTTTACTACAAATGAATTTAAGCACAAATAATATATCATATACTACATGAAATAGAAAAGACATATAGATATAATTAGTGTCTTTCAAGAACACCTCTACAAACTTCAAAGAACATAGTAATTAATGAACAATTTCAAAAATAAAATAAAAAAGGGATATTATCTAAAAATTGTAGTTATTAAATTTTATTTCTTAAGTAAAGAACTAAAAACTGTTAAGAACTGATGTACTACACAATGACATTGATACTATGTTAAAATGATTCATAGAAGGCAGTCAAGACAGAGATTCAGAACTATTTTATTAGAAAAGTAATGCGCATTCATAGCAACGTTAGCTTTTATTTCTGTGTACTCTATGAACTTCCTAAAACCATTCTCCAAAGCTAACCATTTAAAACTCATTCATGTATTTTATTATGCATCCTACAACAAAGACTAAGAAGCAGGCAAGAATTACTATAAAACACAGTCTAATTACAGAAAAGTTAATTTATTTTTACAAGAAAACATTTTGAAACCAATTTTGTGTTTATTGAAGGATTTTTTTCATGCACATTATTCAAGATTTTTTTCTGTCAGAGTATTAGCTTCCTAGGATTGCTATAACAAATTACCACAAACTGGGTACCTTAAAAGAGCAGAAATATATTCTCTCACTGTTCTGGATGCTAGAAGTGCAAAACCATGTTAGTAGGGTTGGCAACTACTGGAACTTTGAGGGAGAATCTATTCCACGCCTTTTTCCTATCTTCTGAGGGTTCCCACAATGTATCACTCCAATCTCTGCCTCCAGCATCATGTGGCATTCTCCCCTGTGTCTCTATCTTCTCTTTCATTCTTTTTTTGTTTTTGTTTTTGTTTTTTTTGAGACAGAGTCTCGTTCCGTTGCTCAGAGTGGAGTGCAGTGGTGTGACCTTGCAACCTCCACCTCCCGGGTTCCAGTGATTCTTGTGCCTCAGACTCCTGGGTAGCTGAGATTACAGGCACACACCACCACGCCTGGCTAATTATATTTTTAGTAGAGATGGGTTTTCGCCATGTTGGCCTGGCTGTCTTGAACTCCTGAGCCTCAAGCGATTTGCCTGACTTGGCCTCCCAAAGTGCTGGGATTACAGGCATGAGACACCATGCCCGACCTATCTTCTCTTATAAGGCACACGAGTCATGTTGGATTAAGGGCTTGCCCTGCTCCAATATGACCTCATCTTAGCTACTTGCAACCACAATCACAGTATTTTCAAATAAGGTCACATTCTGAGGCTCCAGGAAGTAGATGAATTTTGGGGATGACACTGTTCAACCCAGTACCTTCAGTTTCTATTTAACATAAAAAATAATTCCCATACTATACTGGATGAAAAAAATGACTTAAGAAATAGGTGAAAGATTGTTGAACATACAAATATGATCTTTTATTTTCCAATCACATACAGAGATAAGAATTTTTTGGGAATATGTCTCATTCACAAACACGTATTATATGCAAAGAGAAATTTATTGTTCAAGTAGGATTCAGGGAATTAACCTAGGTGCATTCTCTTGTTTCTCTTTCAACCATATTGTTCTCCAGACTTTTTTTCGAATTCTGATTTCCCTGTAGGATTGTTCAGATTTAAATAAAGCCTGTAAAGCAGAAGTAGTAAACAAGCCTGGGTACTAAAGTTAAATATTACAGAGGTAGATAAAATAAGTCTGAGGAAAATTCATGTATTTAATTCTTATCTATTTTGCCCGTGCAGTTATGCTGATATTTCATTCACTTGGATTCACCAACCAAAAATTTGTAACTATAGTGGAGAATCTTTTTTCTGTATTTGAAAAAAGTGCACTGAGCAAATTAGTAGTATAAATATTATTTCAAGGATAACTATTTAAGAGAATATTTATTTCTATGTACGGTTAATCAACATGCCCCCTTCCATACCCCATGTGCCCTTTGACTAATTATCTCCAACTCATCTTTCAGGTCACAATTCAAGTATCATGTTCTCATACCTCATTTCTGACAATGGATGAAATCCTTACTAGATGCTCTTACAGTACCATATACGACCTGTTTGTAGTATTTACCACTGTGTCCATTTTATATTGATTTTTGTGGTTATAACTAACATAATTTTCCTCTACTAAACTCTATAGGACATGTATTGTGGGCCATGTATATTGTACTTACCTTTGCTTTTCTAATGACAAGTGCAGTACTTGCTGAATTACTGAATAAATCAGAAGTACATATTACTATAAAAAGTTGACATGTGAATTATGAATCAATCTCATCAATTTGTTAAAGAATCTTCTACCAAGTACTCTTTTCTTAAATAAACTTATACCCTTATTACAGTTATAATATCTTTGTAACAACATTAAGGGAGCATTGATTTTATTATATTAAATAGATAGTTCTTTATTTCAAATAGACTTGGCTGAATTATTTTGATTAGCTCAATTAAAAAATACAAGATTGTAATAAGAGACTTTATTACTTACAAAAGGCATTGTGAGCTATTATTAAAATAAATACAATTGACATGAAATATAAGTTTTGTGAAACAACTCTTTGTAAGGATTGTACATGTTTACCTTGAGATATACAAACAAAATGGCCCATATCATACGGAAAAATCCCTTTAAAATAATAGACTATAATTTGAAAGATGAAATTTTATCAATATAACACATATTTAAACTAATATTTTAAAATTTAAAATTTGTAAAAAGCGTACATTTGAGAAAGCTATAGTAATTATTCACAAGTAAGGACATTAAAATTCATTCCATAATCATCATTATTTGAGCCAGAGAAAGACTGATGCAAATTGGAATATCTAAATTCAAAATTTAGGACATGCAGATATGATTATAATATCTTTCTCTTTGGCAGCTTGAGTTTACATATTTAAATAAACCCAACTATTATTTTTTAAAAATGTTCCTGGCCAGAGGAAGGATTGCATTTCAAGAATCCAATATGATGCAAAGATTAACACATATTTCCAGTCTTGAGGTGCTGCTGCTCCCTGAGTGTAACTTTCTCTGTCATGTATTTCCTACAGTTTCTTTTTGAGGGAAAAAAAAATGCTAAATGCTATCAATTTTCAGACTGTCCCACACTTAAACCTATATCAAGACATTCAGGAATACAACATGAGTAAAGATTAGAGAAACTGTGAGAAAAAATTTGAAGAATAAGATGATTGTAACTTATAATTTGACAGCTGCTCTAAGCTTGGCTGAGCGCCCTCTGGGGTTATCTTGTACATCCTGATTTTGTGGACTAAGTACCTTCTTGTGTATCAATTCCCACATTAAAGGAGCTCTTCTCATAGAGACTTCTTCTGTGTTTTCGTGACCAGAACCCAACTGCGATGTTTTCATCACTTGCTGTCTAACACTTAGGTTAAATCTTTCTGTCATGCTTATTCCAAGCAAAAATCTTTTGATGATGCGATCCTCTAGTGAATGGAAGGAGAGGGCAACAAGACGACCACCAGGTCTCAGAAACTTCTGAGCTGTCTTCAGTCCTGTGTAGAGTTCATTGAGCTCATTGTTCACAAATATGCGAAGAGCCTGGAAAGTCTTGGTGGCAATATGGGTAGATCGCTGTAGTAAGTCTTTCCGTGCATAAATAGCAGAGGGAGGAAATGCACCTAGGAACACATTTTGTAAAGATAGGAAAAGAAGACCGGTAATATTAATATTTTTCACTGTAAATCTAATGAATTGTGTAGTTGTGTGCATATTTAGTGAATTAAGTTTTCTTAGAAAATTGTGGTGGCATTTCATTCATACTTTCCCCTATTATTCCCAAGCATTCTTCCAAGGTTTAAAACTATGTGGCAAAAAAAACCTTTCATAACTCATAAGGATAATTGGAATTTAATAAGGAGCACAGAAAGAGAAATGGTGGACACATATTTAAAGAAATGATAACAAAATCCTTCTCAAATTTGGTGAAAAACATTAACTCAAAGATGGCTCAATGAACCACAAATATAATAAACAAAAAAAGGCTGCACATAGGCACATCATAAAACTACTATAGCCAAAGATAAAAACAAAAAAAAATCATGCCAACAGAAAAGAAAATTCATTACATAAAGAAGAACAAAAATATTATTAACAGCTAAATTTTTATGAGCACACTGGAGGCCAGAGGATAGTGGAATAACATAAACAGTGTTGAGAAGAAAACTGTTTACCATGAAGGCTAAGTCTACTAAGATATTTATTCAAAAATAAAGGTTCGAAGACATTTTAAAAGAAATAAAAAGTGAGACAATCCACTGTGAACAGGTCTGCATTCAAAAAATTGAAAGGAAATACGTTAAGCTGAAATAAAATGAGGGCAGGTGATCTTTTGGATACACAGATGAGAATGAAGTGATAAGGCCATAGGTGTAAAACATTTTTGAAATAAATTAAAGACTTATATAAATGGAAAACTACTGAATGTTTAAAGATCGGAACACTTAACTACTGTATGTTCAAAGATTGGAAGATGGCAATACTACCCAAACTGATCTAAGATTCAACGTAATCCCTATCAGAATTCCAGCTGACTTCTTTGTACAAATTAACAAGCTGATTTTAAAATTCATATGAAATTACAAGGCATCCAGAACAGCCCAAATAATCTTGAAAAAAAAAGAATAAAGTAGCAGGACTTACATTTATGAATTTGAAAGCTTACTACAAAGCAATGATAAGACAGTGTGGTACTGGCAAAGCAGTAGATATAGAGAAAAATAGAACGTAATTGAGAGTCAAGAAATAAACCCATACCTATACAGTCAACTAATGTTTGACAAGAGTGCCAAGACCATTCAATTGGGAAAAGTCTTTTGAACAAACAATGCTGAGAAAATTGGATAGCCACATGTAAAAGAATGTAATTAGACTCTTACATCACATACAAAAACAAACTCAAAATGGATCAAAGACCTAACTGTAAAAGTACAAAGTATAAAAATCTTAGAATAAAACATAAGGCTAAATCTTCATGACTTTGAATGTTGCAAAAGATTCTTACATATGACACCAAAATTGTGAACAATAAAAGAAAAATATAGATAAATTGAACTTCATCAAAATTAAAAACTTTTCTCATTCAAATGACACCATCAAGAAATGAAAGACAAGTCAGAGAATGGGAAAATATTTGCAAATCATAAGTCTAATAAGGGACATATATCTAGAATATATAAAAGAAGTAAACTGCAGAATACATGTATATTATTTATATCATATTTTAAAACATGCATATCAAAATAGATATGTTCCATCTACTTCAATAATTGAGATAAGCAAAAATTACTAATTTCTAAATAAACCCATAAATATAATTTTCCTTAAGCTTATAACCACTGGCACACAAACAAGATATTAAAGTATAATGTTCAATAGATTTATACACAAATTTTTCCTTGATTTTGAACCATATTCCTGAAGAGTATTATCCCGTAGAGAAGCAATGTTTCTAGTACAAATTTGTTCTTAATGAACATCTCAGAAGATAACTTCAATCTTGGCATTTTAATCTCCTTAGCATGTTTCTTAAAGAAAAGTTAATTATACAAGGCTGGCACCTTAGTTCACATTTCAGTAATCTGAACACCTAGTAGTAAAGTTCAGACATAGCAGATTAATCTTCTATGGGAACTAAATCAGAGAAGGAGAGAAATCTTGCATGTATCAGAGAACTGAGAACCTGGTGGTTTAAAGTAAACCAAACTGGTGTGATGGTTCTCTCTTTCCTCTACAAGAATTACTTTGCCAAAAGTGTAGAGAATGTTAGACACTAGGGGATTTATCTTCCAACAACGAGGTCTCTCAGGAACATGAAGTCAACATCAAAACTGAAGAGGAAGGTCAGCTTCTTACCACTTGCTATTCAATTCCTCCATTTTCCTGATAGAGTATGGGTCACTGGGAAATGTGTTTCAGAGTATTCTAAGAATCTGAACAAACATGCAACTATTTACATTTTGAAGCCTGGACTCAGAGGAAGTGTCAAAAAGGTTGCATTCCTTTTTTTATTTATTTACTGTTATTTTTATTATACTTTAAGTTCTAGGGTACATGTGCACAATGTGCAGGTTTGTTACATATGTATATATGTGCCACGTTGCTGTACTGCACCCATTAACTCATCATTTACATTAGGTATATCTCCTAATACTATCCCTCCCCCATCTCCGCACCCCACGACAGGCCCTGGTGTGTGATGTTCCCCTTCCTGTGTCCAAGTGTTCTCATTGTTCAATTCCCACCTATGAGTGAGAACATGCAGTGTTTGGTTTTCTGTTCTTGCGATAGTTTGCTCAGAATGACGGTTGCCAGCAGCATCCATGTCCCTACAAAGGACACAAACTCATCCTTTTTTATGGCTGTATAGTATTCCGTGGTGTATACGTGCCACATTTTCTTAATCCAGTCTGTCATTGATGGACATTTGCGTTGGTTCCAAGTCTTTGCTATTGGGATTAGTGCCGCAATAAACATACGTGTGCATGTGTCTTTATAGCAGCATGATTTATAATCCTTCGGGTATATACCCAGTAATGGGATGACTGGGTCAAATGGTATTTCTAGTTCTAGATCCTTGAGGAATTGCCACACTGTCTTCCACAATGGTTGAACTAGTTTACAGTCCCACCAACAGTGTAAAAGTGTTCCTATTCCTCCACATCCTCTCCAGCACCTGTTGTTTCCGACTTTTTAATGATCGCCATTCTAACTGGTGTGAGATGGTATCTCATTGTGGTTTTGATTTGCATTTCTCTGATGGCCAGTGATGATGAGCATTTTTTCATGTGTCTGTTGGCTGCATAAATGTCTTCTTTTGAGAAGTGTCTGTTCATATCCTTCACCCACTTTTTGATGGGGTTGTCTTTTTGCTGTAAATTTGTTTGAGTTCTTTGTAGGTTCTGGATATTAGCCCTCTGTCAGATAAGCGGATTGCAAAACTTTTCTCCCATTTGTAGGCTGCCTATTCACTCTGATAGTAGTTTCTTTTGCTGCGCAGAACCTCTTCAGTTTAATTAGATCCCATTTGTTAATTGTGGCTTTTGTTGCCATTGCTTTTGGTGTTTTAGACATGAAGTCCTTGCCCATGCCTATGTCCTGAATGGTATTACCTAGGTTTTCCTCTAGGGTTTTTAATGGTTTTAGGTCTAACATTTTAGTCTCTAATCCATCTTGAATTAATTTTTGTATAAGGTGTAAGGAAGGGATCCAGTTTCAGCTTTCTACATATGGCTAGCCAGTTTCCCCAGCACCATTTATTAAATAGGGAATCCTTTCCCCATTTCTTGTTTTTGTCAGGTTTGTCAAAGATCAGATCGTTGTAGATGTGTGGTATTATTTCTGAGGACTCTGTTCTGTTCCATTGGTCTATATCTCCGTCTTGGTACCAGCTGCATTCTTGAAGACCTTGCATGATTCAAATTTTGCATAATTCTAAACTACTTTTCTCAAAGAAGAAATGTAATATAAAATACATTTTAATGTGCATATATTTTCATGTAAAATAGGAAGTAAACATTCATGGAGCACATAAATCAATAAGTACTGTAGGATATTTTTGCTATATATATACTTTTTTAATTTCTTAGCATTATCTCTAACATTTTGCAGAAATTAAAAGCATGGTTCAACATAACTGCTTAACTTTCTTGACATTTTAATGCAGAATTTCTTAATTCATAAAATAATAGAAAGGCAGAAAGCTCAATAAATGTTTGCATACTATTGTCAGTAAATATGTTTTTTAAAATTAATGAAAATGGAATGTTTCATAACAAAACCAAAAAAACAACAAAAAATGTCTGAAATCACCACGTAGTTCTAATATAAACAACAGCATTGGTTAATTTGACATTAAAGTTTGTTAGACATTTTGGCTTACTAGCTAAAATAGCACTTTCTTGTGACAGAAGGATGGACATAATTTATAATTCATTTAGTTAGCTAGCTGTGAAACTATGACATTCCTAATTCCTTTCATTTGATGAAATCTATTTTCAAAGCATTCACCCAAAGTGAGATTTTATTAGTATTTTATATTACACAATTTCAAGTTTATATAAATCATGTTCACATTAAGTATATCCCCTAGTATATATGAATCTGCAGCTGACAAAACCACTGCAATCAGACAAGCTTTTCTTTATAAGATCTAATTTGGCCTTGCCAATGTCATAAAGTCATGCAGAATGGACACAGCAACTCTCAGCTATATTTGGGAATAGATGGTCTTCAGGATAATAGGGGAACCTTAATTTATGAAGCTTTCCTTCTGGGGCCTTCTTACTCTTATTTGGGGAATTCTGACCTGGATTATGTCTGATGGATTTCCTGGAAGATATTTCTAGATGTGGTCTTGTCAACCTCGCTAAATCTCATCTTTAGGGACCAAGAGATGACAAGAGGTCTGCAATGAGCAATGTGTTTTGTGGAGCCTTTTCGGTACTTCTCTGGGGGGATCAAAGGCACATATCTTCCCTTATTTTAGATAGGTTAAATTTCCAGGGCCATCTTTCCTTTATATTGGTACCTCATGTCTCTAATTTTTAGGAAGAAAGGTTGTCAAAGCAGATCGTGTAAAATGAAATTAAAAAGAAACAAAAGAATATAAACAGCATATGAT